GAGACTGGAGAAGGATGAGGTGCTGTCCCTGCTGCCCTACAGGACCTCACATCTCCCCACCCTCAGGAGCCTGGAGTTTCCTCCCAGTAGCCCTTGCTTTTTTCCTGCTTCTCAGAGAATTCTGGAAGATCAGGATCTCAGGCCCTGCAAATCTGTCTCCAGCATGCCCCCCCCACCCCCCGCCCCTCAGGGAACCTAGCAGGCCTCAGCTTTGATGCGGCCACCTCAAGACTGAGGTGTCAATGGGCCCTCTATATGGCCAGCGGGCCGGCTGGAGGCTGGGGCTGCCGTAGTGGGTGCGGTGAGGCCCAGACACACAGTCCTGCTGTGTGCGGCTGGCTCAAGTCCGTCCAGACCCTGCAGGCCATGGGGGGCTCCCAGGGATGCCCTTCCAGGCACTTTGGACAGGCCGGGTGGTCTGAGGAGATGGGTGTGAGCAGGGCGGCCTCAGAAGCCGCCGTCAAAGAGGCCTGGCCAACGTGGCGCCAGGCAAGCACCATAGAGGGCACAGCATGGCTGGCGATCAATCCCTTCCTTGGGCTTCCTGGGGAGGAGGGGCTCTGGGGCTCACACTCAGGGCCACCAGCCATCTCAGGGCTTCCTGAGACTTGGGTTGGGGCTAAACTCCAGCGAGTCCCCTGTTGTTGGCCACAGCCTAGACATGGGATCTGACCTCTATGATCTGAGCAGCTTCCTCCCTGTCTGTCCAGCGACGTCCAGGTCAGACCATCTTGGCTGGACCTACTCATATCCACTGGGTCTACACAGTGTGCTGCATGCCTGAGTGTCCATGTTCCATTTCTTGGTGGTGTCTTTGAGGCAGGGCTGCTGGCCAAACCCAACCTCTGCAGAGAGGGTCTCCACTGCTTACCCCCAGGCCCCTGGGTCCCCACCTACACTACCTGCCTGCTTTCTGGGATGGGGCAGAGCCGGCTCGTGGTGGCCCAGGCACTCTGCTCCTTCTCTGACATCTCCTTAACCTTTCAGACTCAGTTCAAATGCCACAACCCCAGCTCACATGTCCTGTCTTCTCCTTGGTGACATCATCCCCCCTCTTTTGCTCTAGGAAGACGCTGAGGTAGCCCAAGTTCAGTGCCCGTGCTAGGGACCCACCCCAGAGATATAGAAGCCCACAGAGGCCTGGGCCAGTCCCCCTCTCTGACTCACTCAGAACACCTCTCCACAGGTGGGAGTCCTCCCATCTCTCGCCCTTCCAGACTGCGAGCTCCAGGACCACCCTCCTGACCTGTCTCCCTGACCTGCACTCCAGCCCAAGGCTGGGCCCTTGCCAATTAAAAGGAGGAAAGTGCTCGTTGGGCGGTTGCTTGCTGCCAGGCACCCTGCTCACAGAGTTCTGTCAATAACCCCATCTGTTTGAGGTAACCATGGTTGCTTACAGATGAGTAAACTGAGGCACAGAGCTGTGAGGTGACTTGCCTCAGGTGAGGTAGGAAAGGGCAGACTTGGGGCTTGAACTGACAGCATCTGCTTCCAGAGCCCAAGCCTAACCTTTTGTGGAATCACCAAAATCGATACACAGGAGGAAAGCTTTGCCTCCAGGGCCATTGTCCATGATTGACAAGTGGGGAAACTGAGCCCAGGAAGAGGAAAGGATATGCTCCCAAATGAGTCACAGCCACAAAGGTCTTGGCTTCCCTGTTTGTCAAATAGGAAGACTGAATCCGCTTGTTCTCCTCAGAGGCCTGGTGGCCCCTTGTTCCCTCCTTCCACCCCTTTCCTGGGCCGTGCTAGCCTGTGTGGCTCTGGGTTAAACCTCGCCTCCCCCATCTCCTTGTCCTCCTCCCTCTGCTGCGGAGTGGGAAGCAAATGACCCCTCTGGGCTCTTCCTAAGCCTCTGACCTCCACAGTGAAGTAGGGAGCCCCTGTCTGGCGAGGACCAGCTTGGGAAAGGCCCATCCCAGGCTCCCACAGGCTCCTTGGCATGTAGGGCTGGGCCACCTCTAGGAACATCCAATCCCTTATATATCAAGGCCTTCTTACCAGCTGATCCAGAGAAGCCAGGTGACTTGAATGGAGTCACACAGAACGTGGGCACCATAGCCTGGTGCCCAGACCCAAACCTAAGAGAATGCAGTTCCACAGCCTGAGGTGGGCATCGTCGGGAACGCAGGGTTTAACAGCTCTCAGGACAGTGGTTTTGGGCCCCACTGGCTTGTCACACCTTGGTCCGGGCCTGGGGTGGGGCAGCATTTACAGGAGGCAGGAGGGAGGAAGAGGTGGCTGTGGGGGACACAGGGAGGGCCTCCCCCTTTACGTTAAAAGCCAACGGTGCTAGAGCCCTGAGTAAGAGCACGAGAACACAGCAGACCCGGAACTGTTGACCTGCCAAGCCTTTAGGGGGTCCATGAACATGGGCTGGAAATAATGACGTTTTTCCTCTCACCAACCTTTAACTGAAATGTAGCCCTTTTTTCCACCATGTTTGTGTCAGCAGTGGAAATCGTACATATTTCTTGGTCTCAGGTCTTCACAGATTATCCTGAAATATTGGTTTCCTCATTTCCTTAGAGGTCTTGCTGCTGTCACTTCCCACAGAGGCAATGGTCACCTCCCTGTAGACTTGCCTTTTTAGCTGGATAATTGTGTTGCCAGAGATTCAGTTTTGTTCCTAGTCCTTTGGATTTGGGTTGATGCCTTTAAAAATGTCATCTGAGGGGCTGGGGAGATAGCTCAGTAGAATAAGTGCTTGCCTGGCAAGTGCAAAGGCCTGAGTTCAATCCCCAGTTCCACCAAAAACAAAACAAAACAAACAAACAAACAAACAAAAATGTCATCTGAGGGGCTGGGGAGATAGCTCAGCAGCTTAAGCGCCTGCCTATCAAGCACAAGGTCCTGAGTTCTATCCCCAGTACCAAAAAAAAAAAAAAAAAAAAAAAAAAAAAAAGTCATCTGAGATGGCACCCATGAGCTCCTTGAGACTCCGGTAAGGTTGGTGGCTACACACAGGTTAATGGCCGTGTCTATAGGGCAGCATGGAGTCAGAACCCCATAGTGAGCACCCAGAGACTGGGCCTCTATGGGACAGCATGGGCAACTGGAGGTTCTGGGGACAGGATTTGGGAGACAGAGCCCCCACCCAGCCTGGGCAGAGCTTCCCCAGGGAATCACTGGGCCCCAGGGCCCAGGCCACTATGTCGCCAAAAGATCAGCCCACTCTGCCCCGGCACACACCGGACAAGAGCTGCCTCTGTGTGTGTGTGTGTGTGTGTGTGTGTGTGTGTGTGTGTGTGTGTGTGTGTCCCGGCTTTTCGGCTTCCTTCTTGCCGTCAGCTGCCACCTCCTCAGCTCTACATCAGGAACCCATCCTGGGCAGGCTGGTGTTTTAGCCCTGTCTCCCTAGGTTCCATTGTTTTAAGCCCTACATTTCTCCATCTTGCTCACGGAGGAAGAAATACAGATTACAAAGGCCCAGCAAATGGTTTTTATAAACTCTTATTTTCTTGCCACAGAACTGCCTTTAATTAGCTTTTAGGACTACAAAGGGCACCCGTTCTAATAGCAGCCGCTTGGAGGAAGGAGCCCCCAGTAAGGAAGGAGCCCCAGCGCAGTGCTTGGCAACCAACCTGGGCTGCTGATTGTCACCAGCCACGGCCAGGTTTGGCACGAGCGTCCTGCTGCGGGGGGCACAGGCGCTTCTCCCCACACTCCTCTGGTCTGAGCACACAGCCTGTCTCAGCCTCCCCAAGGAGAAGGATGGCCCACTCCCAGACGAGCCTCTGTTCACAAGCACCCAAATGTGCCTGGGCCCCCCCAGCCAGCCACCCAGGCACTTGCTGAGTCCCTGCTAGGTAGCAGCCAGCCAGGCAGATGCACAGAAAGACAGATAGACAATCGGACTGACTTCTGCACCTCAGATGACCATCTTGGCTCCAATTGGTGGTCCAAGAGACAGGACCACCCCCAAACCCTGGAGGTCTAGTTGCACTCAGACCCTGTTCTAGAGAACTGGTCCCTTGAGTATTCCAGAGCCACTGCCCCCCATGCAGAGTCCTCCGGACAGAGTCTCAGCCTCAGACAGTGAATGCCACAGCCGGCGGGGACTCCGATGGGAGCACAGGGAGGTTAAATAACTTGCCTAACATCACTCAGCAAAGTAGCCACCGAGCTGTGGGACCCAAGCTCAGGGACTTGGGGACCCCTAAGGTCAGGTGCCAGCGTCCCATCTGGGCTTCTGTAAGGCAGGAGGAAGGCAGCAAGTTGGGTGTTTGAATGCAGGGCAAGTCCTAAGGGTCACACAGAGAGTGGAACGTGTCAACCAGAAGTCCCAAGAGGGGTATCCCGGACTTCATCCTTGCTCAGGGACACAGCCCAGAGCTCTGGATGTCTCCAGAGCATGAAGAGAGGCAGAAGATGTCCAGAAATGCTTTCTTTTCCCCAGATCAGTCTGGTCAATGCACTTTCCAGGCAGATACAGCCTCAGGGCAGCCCCAGTTCTCCCCAAAGCCTGTGGCCCTCCACCTCCTTCAGCTTCCTTTGTCCCCAGAGATTACATGGAAAACAAGGGCCACAATCTAAGGCCCAGCCCCGGGCCCTCTCCTGCCTCCAGCAGCTTCTAGAATCTGGCCAGCCCGTGTTGGCCCCTGCCTGGGCCACGGGTCCAAGTTCTGGCCAACTGGACACTGAGGTTTCAGGGCACGGGAGGAAGACCCATTTGTGGCATAGGAAACTGCACCTCCCCTGTCCTTCCCACCTTGAGACCCTCCGAGGTCTGGCCCTGAGGTCTTACGGTATCTGCTGCCCTGTCACACACTGTTCCCACCAGTGGAGGGTGAGGTCCCACAGCAATGTTCCACATCGGGAGACCGCGGAGGCCACCAACCCTCCTTCCCCCCGCAGGCTGTCCGCGGCCATCAGATTTAGGTAACCAGACTGTGAGCTTGAGGCCAGTCGGGGCGGGCAGTGGAGCGACGTGGTGGAGGCCTGGCCACAGCTCCCCACCCGAAAAGGCCAGCCCAGGGCCCTGGGCAATTGTTACTCACCACGGATGAAGGTCGGCGAGTAGGTCGGAAAGGAATCGAAGACGCTGTTCGAAGCCATGGCCCACGCTGAGGAAGGCGAGAATTCGGCCCTTGGGAGGAGGTTGGATTGGATGGCCTTGGTTGGCTGTTTTTTTTTTTTTTTTCTAGCTACTTTAGAAATTAGAAGTGAATGGGTGGGGGTGTTGGTTTTTGTTTGTTTTTTGTTTTGTCCTTTCCCCCCCTACTGCTACGAAAAAGAAAAAAAGGAAAGAACGCGAGAGTGTGTGAGTGAGCGAGTAAAAAAAATCCCCAAGGAAAGTAAGTTTCTGTTTGTACCCAAGAATTCGGATTCCCGGTCCCACAGGAATGTCTAGCCACAAATTTTCAACAGCAGCATACGCAGAGTGTATCATTAGATGGCAGAAGGGCTCTCGGCAGCCAGGGTGGAGGAGCTGGCGGCTGCGGCAGTGCAGGGAGGCCCGCACCGCACCCGCGTCGCGGGAATGAATGAATGAGACTCACCCTCCACCGAGCCCAGGCTGCAGTGGGTGCGAGGGTGGCCGGGGGTGGGGACCAGCGGGAGCCAACCAGCTCCTGAGCAGGGCCCTGGAGGCGGCTGAGGGCCTGGTCTTGTGGTTCTGTGGTCGAGGGACCAGGCCTTCCCAGTGTCAACCCAACCTCAGCTCACAGGATGCAAGAAGCCAGCTCGCGGCCTGGACCCATTGGCTGGGCCGCAGTCACCTGGGCTGTGATGTCACGGCCTCTTAGAAGATCTTGTGGCTGCCTCTCTCTCTTTTTTGGAAAAAAAAAAAAAAAAAAAAAAAGTCGATGAAGAAAGAAAGAGAGGGGGGAAGAAAAAGGTGATGGTTTTTATTTGTGGGCCCAGCCTCCGCATGCGGCCCAAGAAACAGAACTGAAAGTAGTTGGACAGGCGTTGAGGTGGTGGCTTGGATGCTATGCATAGGGGACACTCCTTGCTAATTTGGGGCAGCACTGGCCAGCAGACCTGCAGGCGCTGGGAGCCCGGGTCTGTCAGCAGGCAGCGGGATTGACACCACGGCCACCAGTCCTAGGCTGCATTCACACCCTTCCATCGGCCCCCAGTGCTGCTACCAGGGAGAGGCGACCTCATGTGGGGCTGGGTGGCACTTCAGGAGCTTTTATGGGAGTCGGGATTACAGGCAAATGGAAAACACATGAAGCCGCCGTGGCTGCCCACGAGGAGAAAGGCCTGCCTGGGGAAAGCGGGGGCATGACTGTGCCAAGAGGCCCCCTGCAGAGCCCCGCCCGAGCCCATCGCCCGGGTCCTTGCCCATCCTGCCCACCTGGGCACCCCCTGCAGTCTCTGCTGCAGCTGACGCTTGGAGCGTTCTGCCTTCAAGCCTGTGCTTTTGCTGTCCTTCCGCTCGCTGGACCCTTCATTAGTGCCCTGTGGAATCGCTCACATCCCAAAGAGTCAAAGCTCAGAGGAGCCCAAAAGCACAAAAGACACAAGAGATAACTCAGTGCTATACTTCTAGGTTCCTAGAAGCCAGGTCAGGCTTGGGGGTGGGGGTCAGAGGAGGGTGTTTCTCTACATTTCCCCTTGTGAGCTCTACTCTCCCATTTCACAGGACAGACCGTGGAGGCCCAGGGTGACAGAGCCAGAATGCCTATGGTCACGTAGAATTCTGGAATAGAATTAGAACTTCAACCTTTCACTCACTTGCCTGGGCCTCAGCTGTGACACCATAGTGCCCTTAAAATAAGTCCTGAGACCTCAGAAAGACCTTTTGCAGTCCCAGGGAGGCTAGGGTAGGGGCCAGAACCAGCTGTGGACTCACAGTGGCCTCTGTAGGCCAACACAGAGCACAGTGGCGTTGTGGGGAGGAGGGCCTCGTCCAAGGCCAGGGAGAATGATTTCAGGATTCCTGCCCTAAACACTGAGCTCCCTGGTGGAAGAAGTGGGTGAGTTCATGCTTCGAGACCTTGGGGCCAGCCCCTTTTGGACCTCAGTTTTCTTTCCTGTAAAATGAGGCTGATACTTTTGTCGGGGGGAAGGAGGGGGACAAAGGACGTGGCACATGGTTTCCTTGGCTGAGCCTGTGACGCAGTCTGGGCCCCATTATGAGTAAGCTCAGGTGTGGAGCCAACAGAGTCATGCAGGGAGGATAGCCTGCCCCGCCCCACCCACCCAGGGAGCCCATCCCTTGGACTGGCCCAGACAGTGGCCAGGGTCAGCGGCACAGGTGCAGCCTATCAGGGGCCGTGGCCTCCCTCTTGGGTCAGAGGCATTTTGGAGTCTGCTGCATTGCAAAACAGGCCAGAGAATGATGTAATGGGGAAGACCCTCCTTTTCTAGAAATGAAACAGGGGCCCCCAGGGGAACCGAGACTCATCCCAGCTCCCCCCGTGAGTCAGTGGGACTTGGTGTCCTGCTCCCAGCCTAGGGGCCGTTTCCATTCTGCCAACACCACCCCCAGTCTCCCACACAGTGCCCTACGTGCTTTGCTAGGTTTTTCCACACCTTCGTGGGCCCCCCTAAATCATGATTACTTGGCTACCTAAGGGGCTTCCCCTCCCCGGAGACTGAGTCTGGGCACAGGAACAGGAGAGAGCCGGGGCGGCTGCATCGGGTACAGTGGTGTCTATGTGCCCCATGGCCGCCAGTGCATTCTCAGGAAGAGCTGCAATTGCTCAGAATGCCAAGCTTGGCTATTGTCCTCTGGCATCTTACAGTCTCCACCTGTCCCCTCATAAGCAGGTGCCGGACTTTGGAAAAATCCCTGAGGCTTGACTTTGGTTCTAATGGACCATGAAATTATGGGCAAGAGGATTTACTCTTCTGAGCCTCATTTTTCTGGACTGTGAAATGGGTTCAAGTGCAATACTTACCCCACAAAGTCATAAAGAGGATTAAGTGAGAAAATAATTGTGAGTATACTTGGCTCATTGTAGACGCTCAGTTCCTGGGGTTCCTCTTCCTTCCCCTCCTGCCTGCATTTTCTTTTGTGCAGCAGGCAGTCAATTGTTTCATCGGAAACAATTAGATCAGTTTAATGGAAAACATCAGTTAAAGAAGGGAATCATAAAATCTAAAAATAAAAGAGATTCATAAACACAGTATCATAAACTATAACTTTAAACCGACAGATGTGCATAAATCATCTTCTTCTTCGTCTTCTGAAAGAAGCCAGACTAGGAGGTCTTGCCTACAATATCCCCCTGGGAGTTCCTCTAAGGTGGAACATGAATGTGAAGATGTCTCCAGTGATCGGCTTGTTCTAGCATCTTGATTGTACTATTTTCCTCCAAACTTTCACACGCTCCACCCATCTCTGATTGGATAACTTTATTTCATTTTTTTTTAAATTAAAAAAAAAAATTTGTTAGGGCTGGCCAAATAGCTCAGCAGATTAAAGTGCCTGCAAGGGCCAAGGGTTCAATCCCTGTGCCTGCTGTGCTGGCCCCGCCCCCGGGGGCATGCTGAGACAGTGATTGAGACTGGGTGTGGTAGCACGTCGGTAATTCCAGCACTTGGGAGGCTGTAAACAGGAAAATCACTATGAGTCCGATGTGGTAGTGAGACCCTGAACACCCTGTAGACCCTTCCCTAAAAATACAGAAAAGAAAATATTTTATTTATTTTTTTGGTACAGGGTCTCCCTATGTAGTTCAGCCTTGTAGTGATCTTCCTGTCTCAGTCTCCCCAGTGCTGGGATTACAGGCATGAGCCACCATGCTTGATTTTGGTGGTGGGCACAGTGCACCCGTGGTTCTGGGGCCAGCACAGCATGCGGTACAGGGGATGAAGCGCAGGTCCTTGCACTTGGCAGGCAGATGCTTAGGCTGCTGAGCTATCTCCCAGCCCAAGGATAATTTTATTTTTTAAAGTGATTTACTTCGCCAAGTCCTTCCAAAGCATTCAACCTCATTTTCATAAAAACAGACTTTGCTGTCCAGTCTCATGCCACCGAGAGGGCATCACCCTTAGCTGGAGTCCAAGCCAGGGAGACAGGAGGAGGCTGGGAAACAGGTTCGAGATCAATGGCTCACAGGGGACCGGATAACTGTGAAGCCGAACAGAGCCCCCAGATTGGCCACGACAGGAAGCCGCTGTCACCCTTGGGGAAGAAGACAAAGCAGAGGTGGTTAAGAGGGCCCCTCCAGAGGAAGCAGGTCCACTAGGTCTAGCATTTGCAGAGGAGACTCGGCCAGTCTGGAGATGTCACTTGAGATAAAGACCACAGCCTGGGCCGGCCCCTTTTTTCCATTTTTCAGTCTCTTCTCTGCGTCTCCCATTGGTCCCAGGTAGGTGGATCCAGCTGGCTAGGAGGTTGGGCGATGCACCCTGGGGACTCAGACCCTTGCTCCATGGGACCAAACCCAGGAAAAGGTGGAACGAAGGCCTGGGACTGGCATCAGAGTCAACAAAGCTCTGTAACCATGGAAATACCGCTGGACCACCTGGGTATGAGCTGGCATTTTGGCCCCACGCTCGGTTGCTGTGACTGGGGAGTTGTGCTGCCAGTCACAAGCCCTGAGTGTCACAGCTTACAGAGGCAGGACAGCCTGCCGCCCAGCATAGCCTCCTCCCCTTTCAGACAGGGAAAGGCCAATCCCAGGAACTGGTCTTGAGTTTCAGCCTCCAGGGGTTAGCACAGCCAGCTTGGACCACACAGGTTCCAGATTTGAGGTGAGCTCCGGTCCAAGAGTTCAAATGCAGGCTTTCTGCCAGCCCACCTGAAGTCTGCTGCCTTCTGTCTGTGGGTGGGGCTTCATTGTTAGGGGTCAGTACAGAGACACCAACGTACCCCAGGTGGTATGTAGGGCCGGGCAGCCCACATAGGGCTTGGGACACACAGGCCACGCAGAGGTACCATGAGCTGAGGACCTCCTAACGTGTGGCATGCCTGTGTGCCACAGCTTTCTACCAGTATCTTCAGTGCCTCTGGGGCACAGAGGACAGTGCTCCACACCTCACAGGCCACATGACCTTCCCTGTACCTTCTAGGGAGCTCTGATGAGGGGAAGGATCTACCCCAGGCCATCCAGCTTGCAGGTGGGGGACACAGGATTTGAACCAGCCTGTCTTCCACCTGCTTTCTGGCTCCTCTCCCCTCCCCACAGCCTCCTGTGTCCACCTCCTAGCCTGAATCCTGCTCTGGAGCTCCCTTTGCTGGGTCCTGCACTGCTGTGTTAGTGTAGCTGTACTGTTACCTCATAAACCACATGGCTAGTGGCACCGAGGATTTCTTTTCCAGGGACCCCAATAGCTTCACTCACTGCCCTTCCTCCAGCCTATAGTCTTACCTGCGGCGCACGTTTTGGCCCGATGTCCCCAAGTTAAAGGCAGATGGAACAAACTGGAGGAGTAGTCCCCTGGGGATCCATCGCACTCCCCTGGGCTGGGCCTGCCACCCTCTCCCTGTTTCTACCTGGTGCCCCCAAGCGGGAGGTAGGAAGAGTAGCAAACACACTGAACAAGAAAGGTTCAACTATGGGTCTGCCACTGCCACTTCCACTGTGTCCCC